ACAAACATACATACACACAGTGCCGAACGTTGAGTTAACGAACCCAATTTATGTTGACTGACAACTATAAGTATGGACTTATTATTTAATGAGTGTTATTTGACTATTGGTGTGCACAGCAATTGGGCTGAAGCTCAGCCTGATTACAATATCATTAGAATGTCATCAGCATCATATCATACACAGAAATGGGTATGTATGTCAGAGCTAGGATAAAACTATCTTACTGTCATATTGCCAGCAATAATGATGAGAATAAATAAACTGCCTAGTTACCAGAGTCGAGTCTGTAGCTAGCCACATGTCGCCGACCTTCGTCGGCAGCCCCAACGGAACAACAACAACAAAAACAGCCTGTCGAGCCCGGATGGCTATGCTCAGCTACCTACGAACGCTCGCTTCATTTACTCGTTAAGTTCATCACAGTTGCCTTAATGAAGCTATAATTAGATAAGCGCAGCAGTAGGAACGCCGCTGTTCCTACTAACCGCAACAGTAGTCAGTCAGTCTCCTAGTCAACCAGCTGCTACTCACAATGCGACAGCAGATCACTGCTGTAGTTATCTCTATGCACAGAAACGGTAGCCCGTCGAGCTATTCATTCATACGCCAGGTTAGCCACGATGATGAAGTGTATCTCACAAATACACAAACCTGATGGCGCTATGGCCTTGTATTTTTAGCCAGCAGCCAGGAGCCGCCAGCAGCGAATAGAAGCAAAAACCGAAACGTGCAGCAAATGTTGCAAACGTTTGACTAACCAAATTCAAACTGACAAGCCATTGGGTGCGCAGCTATTAGAGGCCATACGACACGGACGCCCATGGCGACACATTTACAATTGGGCCCGAATATCGCATTGTTCACATTCTGTTTCTTCCCGACTGGCTGCTTATCATTCAGCTATTCAGTCGCTGTGCGTGGGTATGTGTGCGACAGTTCGTGGCACACACATTAAGAATGCAAACCGAAATGTCGTGGACTACCGTGCGTATGAGTTATGCGAAATGAGCTCTGAATTATGTATGTACCATGAGTACCATTGAGGTCTGTGGGAACTCAGTCAGTTGTCTAATGAAAGTGCAGAAGAGGAACTAACTAGTTACTCAAAATGACAGTTTTACTAATTAGCTAGTTAGCTTTTTGGTTACTTTAATTAATACGCGATCTATTTTTTTTAAATAAAATACTCCAATAGTTAACACTCAAACTTAATTTAGATATATTAGAGACAAATAGATGTTGCAGTACAGCAATTTTATAAGGTACATTGTTTGGTTCTAGCTTCGCATTCTTGGCCCTGAATTTAAGGGAATTCAGTCTTAGGGAATTCATACATGATGTTCATAAAAGTCTATATTAAGCCCAAATTAAACGTGATAGTAATACTTTTTAAGACCGCCTTTTGAAAACCCTCTTCCTTTTCACTGAAATCAGAAGACCAAATTGATTTTTATATATATCTGACATTGAATGTTTAATAATGTTTATTTTATCCATATATTTATTTAAATTATGAACAAATCAAGTTTTCCATATAACTTGAATATAATTGGATAACAATAGGTGGTATGTATAGTTAAGGCCAAAGAACGCATCTGAAGAGTATTTCATATCACTCTATGCGTTTAGAATGTTCGTTAGCCATGTAGTACATGCTTATTGAATAAACATTTATGTCTATTTATAGCTTGAACATAATATTGAATTAAACTACGCACAAGTCCAACAATATGTGCACTGCTCTTCCCCAAGTAACCTTGTTATCCTTGTCATATTTTGCACTTGGCTCGACCATCAATCAAAGAAGGGAGCACATTTATCCCGCAGACTGCTCGCTTGCCTGTTCCTGCAACTGTTTTGCACCCATCGCAGTGCACACTTATCAAGGCTAATTTTGTTATGGGTCTTCTAATTGACCCTGGCACTTGCAGCCGACAGAGCACTTTACTCCTAAGTCCCCAGGATCGACAGCTTTAAGTTGTTTTTTCTGTTTGCTGCTAATAGCTTTGTTAGAGCGTTTCCTCTTTCATGTTGTGGCCAATTAAAAACCCAAGACGAACTAATTACTAAATACTCGATACAATGAAAATCAAATCAGCAGCTCGTGCTGACGTAGACATTCTCTTTTTCTACTCTATTCGCTAGGGAATGACTGGCGAAGTCATCAATCAGGTAATCACTTAATTACCTACTTCAGAACCAACAATTGGCAGCATCAACTCAAACAAACCTAGTTTAACTGGCTTTATCCTTTTATGTTTCTTTCTTTCCGTAAGCTTTTATTTATTACTTATAAGAAAGGTGTCAGACAATGCGTAAAGACCGAGTCGGTACGTTGTCCGACTGTGTCCAAATAGAACTGTTTAAAAGAAAGTCGAATAGATGGCGAGAGGGCCCATTAGAGTAAATGCCATTGCTCCTAAAAGTTTACGTTGGCATAAACTTGTCAATATCACAAACTATAGAGCCTTTAAAATACATTGTCTATAAGACTTTTGTAAATAATTAAAGTCGATGAACTATATGAATGAAAATTAATTGTATTCGTAGTCGTTCTAAGCTTGCCAAAATGTCTTTTATTAGTTGCATCAACCTTACAGCTTAACTATGAAATGAGCTTAACCTTCTTCGCTTCTATCAAGATGTCTGGGAATTCAAATGTGGTTGTTTATCAAAAGTAAAGTGGGCAAGCACTGGTAAGAGATATTCATAAGTTGATATTTCTCTTTCTATGACATTCTGACAACGTCAACGGGATGATGTACAAAAATAAGTAAGCTAATGCACATGGAGTTGAGTGCGGTAGCAAACTTAAATTGAAAAATATATATTTTATGTATGAAATGTTCAGTATATTTTTAATATTACTAAGCAAAATTTTAGCTCGAACATTAGCTTAAAGGCTTAATCTTGTATTTTTGCAAATACAAGCCATTTGTGTCAAATACATTTGTACTCAGGTTGTTTAACAATAAAGTCAAGTTTGGTTGCGGTAGAGCATGCAGACAGGTGGGCGAACAATTTTGAGCCACAATTTGTAGTTGTATTTCATTTGCAGTTTATGCATGCGTGTGTGTGTCAATTGCCCGAAAAACTACGAAGTTTGTTAACGTTTTCAACAACCTTTTGGCCTCTCGACGAGCACAGGTAAATAACTATCAAATAAAACTCAATAAAAGAGAGTGAGAGGGATAGGGGATGGGAAGTAATGGGAGAAATAGAGCGCGATGCTCTTAATGCAAAATAAATCGAACGAAAGTGCAAAACACTTACCAGATTAATTAAAATGAAATGTGCTAATGGAGAACGCTCTCACTCACACGCAAGCAGCCAATTGAAAACTGATAATCACGTGTTAAATCACACCTCGGGGCGAACGCATACAAACGATTTGTATTTAAATTGCAAAAGCCGTTTGGCGTTTTCTCATAAGCTACAGATTTGGATATGGATAATAATAACTGATTTTTTTATACTGGCAAGAGAAATAGTTATTACTCTTCATATCAGCTTTGAGTTTTGAGGAGAGTTCCATTTAAATTTTTTTAAAATAATTTTTTAACCTACTGTAATGTTTTTCATAGACTCAACTTTAGTGTGGGCTTTTGACACAAATATATTACAATTAATACATTAATCCTAATTAATAGATTTATTTGCTTTATATACTTTATTTTGGAGCACTCATAGAACTTATATTAACTGAGTTAATGTGTAGAATCTTGAATGTAGAAGTGTTATACGTAACTAGTGGTTGAATATTCGTAAACCAACTCTTTGCTCATAATCCTAGTCTAATTTATTCTGTTTCTTCATCTTCATCTTCCCCTCTCTCTCGCGACCTCTCGCCCTCTTTTTTCATTTTTTTCCTTAACTCATTGCTTACTACTTTTGTTCTTTTAGAGATTTGTGTACATAAAAATCTTTCCCTCCCTACAAATAAATCAGAGCTATAAACCCGCAGTAACTTTTTGGGTCTGTAAATATTTACATATATCTTTATATATATTAAAATGCAAAGTAGATCTTAGTAAAGATAGTCTTCATTATAAATACTTTATATACAATTACGCGTAATTATTTAAACAATTGTTTATTTAAATAAACAAAGTTTTCAAATGTTATCTATTTTCGCCGATTTATCTTTCCCTTAGTTTCTCTCTGTGACCTATATTATCTATTTTCGGCATTCCGAATTGTATATGTATTATTTTTAAATTTCCATTCCATTTCAAGGATAAGTGCATGGCGTGTGCTATTTTTAGGCAGTGGCCACAAAATAAATTTACTGGCAGCCAAAGTGGGTAGGCATCAAAATAGACAGTAGACAGGGCAAGCAATGTAGGTAGACAGACAGACAGACTTGAATTCAGCTTGAGAGCCATTTAAATCATGGGAAAACTATTAAAATTTATGCGTGAAAATGAGAAAGAATAACGAGAGCCGCACAATAACGGAACTGCTTTCGAAGTAGGGAGACGAGTCGTGGATAGCGGACACGGGCTGGCTTAGCAAAGAAACATGTTAATGCTGTCGTCGCCGCAAGGTAGAAAACAGGTGCCACAAGGTGACGCCTCGGTGAAGTCAGGCCAACTGCTCAGATACTTCGGAAGTCCCTTAAAGGCAGCATATCGTTAGCTTGGGGGATGAATTTCACAAATCCTAACCACATACTTGAGCAAAGCACCAAAATAGATTTTAAGATTAGGATACAACCAATCTATACATGTGTATACAAACATAAATATATATTTATATACAAATATATATATTTTATATAAATATATATGTATATTCATACTTATATATGTAATCCATTGAACCGCAGAGCGAAAGCCTCAGCGTAAACTTCTTTAAGTGCTTACACGCCGAGCTCCGTGTATCAAGTGTTTCATAAACGCTTAATATTTAATGTAAACAATGAAAATGGTATTAGAAACCAAAAACTTTGAACAATTAAAGGGCTTTGGGCCACAAAACAAAACACAAATGCTTACCAAGATTTGTAGCGTGGCTACTGTCGAGACCCGTAGGACACAGAACGGGGCAACTTAATGCCTTCAAGTTGTAAAACACTTAGCTGTGATTTTTTTATTTTTCTTCCCCTTCTTTACGAAAAAACACTCGACAGCAGCAGCAGCGTCTGTGGGCAGAAGGCAAAATAACACACAAACTTCGCGCGTGCCAAATTTTGTGCAGATAATTTCAAGCAATTTGGGTGCAAATTCAAAATGTCTTGTGCCGTGTGAGTAGCTGGCTGAGGCACAGCAGCTCGTGGCGCGCACAGGTGTGTGCGCTGGACGTGTCGCGCGTCCAAGTTAACACATTGGCGAGTAGTAGATACACCAGGCGGCTGCCAAGCACAACTGTGCACAACCGATAGGAGCAAAGGATAACGCACGACTGTGCCACACGAGCAACGCCGACGACGATGAGACCGACGACGCCAACGACAACGCCGCCGCTGACGCCGACGCCAACGCCGACGCCGATGGTGACGAGCTAGAAAAGCCGAATACCAAAAGCATCAGCGGCAACGGCAACAGTAGCAGCAGCAGCAGTTGCTTTATGGCCCATTGCCACAGTGTAGCTTGGCATTAGTTGAAAGTAAGTAAAAATATGAAAAAGAAGTAACAAAAATAGCAGCGGCTATGGCTGCGAAGTCGCCGTTGACTGCGACAGCAGCAACAAATAAATCGCTAGTAGATTATTCGTGCTGGCACCCATTGCCGCTGCCAGCCGGCGCACCGTTTCGACCCGCACCGCGTTGTCCCGCCAAGCCCCGCTTCACAGCACTGACGCCCACTCCTTTTTGAAGCGCGCCTGTGTGTATGCTACAAAAAATTGACAGCCAAAGCAAAGGGGACACATTTGTTGCTGGGCGGCCTCTTTTTGGGTAAGTAATTTTCGTTGTTTCTATTTAATTTATGACTCGTGTTTTTCTTGTGTGTTTTCTTCAGTTCTGTTTGTCGTGTTTTTGTATTTTTATTTGGCTTTTATTAATTTGTTTATTTGCGCGTCGCGATGCTCCTTTCAGCGCTGGGTTTTAAGCGTTACTTTTTATGGTCTTTTAATACGAGCTCAGCATCGCATATCCCAGGGAACAAAGTCACGCACACGCAGACAGATAGTCTTAGATAGAGAGCTTTCCTAACCTATCCATTCACATACGTGTGCAATTGTCTATGTATGCGTGTGTGTGTGTGACTGCTTGTGTCTGCGGCTTCCTGTTGCTTTAGCCAATGTATGAAAAATTGTTTGCGCGTGTCCGGGTGCACTGCAAAAATTGTCAAGGCACTAAAAATTATACATTATAACAATTTAATTATATAATAAGTGATTTCAAATTAAAAAGGAAGCTTATTTTAAAATAATAATATTTGGTAAGCGTTAGAACTAAACCTGATTTTACGCATGAATGTGACCCATTTTTCTATAAGCACATTCTCCAAGTATATTTTACTTTGTTTGTCCTTTACATCGTTGACAGCCAAAGTATCTGTTGCTGGCACTGTTGCATGTCCTTTGGCTGCTGTAAGACTCGTTTCTCGTTTCTTTCTTACTTATAATGAACTTCAGTTTATATTGCTCGCCACTTCTTAAAGCTCATAAATCTGTTTGCTAGCGCTCTGTGAAATTTTAACCGAAAACGTTATGCGAACGCTTGTTGCACACTTGAGGCAACAAAATGTGCTCCAAATAACCCATACGCCATGTGTTGCACAGGCCACAAAAAGATTATGCAGTACGCATTTTGATTTACTGTTGCGGCCCACTTAATAGACCACAAAAGCTGCAAAACTCCATAAAGCAAACACCGAGCAAGAGACAGAGAAGGAGAGAAAAAGAAAGGACCATCAACCTGCAAATGGCCACAAATGACACGTTTGGTGTTAAATGGAGGTCGCCAATTGGGTGCGTGTTTGTGTGTGTGTTCGTATTTGAATGTCACAGTTACAGTAAATTGTTTGTACAACATGCATGTACAGCAAACATAAATCCCATCCAGGCAGCGCCAACCAGACGACTACGTTAACTAAACGTGCAACGCCGAACGAGACAAGCAGCGCCAACCTCCCATCCCTCTGGGCCTGTCTCTGCCTCTGCTTGCTCAGCGGCAGGGCAATTAAAGGCACTACGTGTATTGTTTGTTTGCGGCTTTGTACGTTTATGTGGGAGTATGTGTGTGTGTATGCATGTGGCTGCGGCTTTAAGTTAACCGAAGGCTTTATCAGTATTTGCGGCTCTACAGCTCACGCGGCTTGTGCAGATCATTAGCGCATTGTTGTTGTAGTCAATGGAAAGCTACTTAATAACAGTCTGCCCAGCTATTCATGTATTTGTATGTGTATGCAGTAAAATGAATTCAATGTATGCATTTCCATGCACACATACGCATGTATGTATGCATGCCCAATTACGCACTCTGTAAAAATACCACACATCCATATACACACACATACATACCACAACAGAATGCTGCGAATTTGATGTGCTGCAGGCTTTGTGCCTGCAATTATCAGCTGGGCCCTATTAATGTACATTTATAAGTGTGTGCATGTGAGTTCATAAATCACTCGTTTGTTTGGTTGCCTGCATCCAAGACAATTTGTCTGCACTGGAATTGCCTTAATTGTTGGGAAACATAGGGCTAAAACAAAACAATGTACTGACAACCTTTCACTTACACAATCACTCTCTCCTTCTCGCTCCCTTTCTAGCAAGCAATCACCAGAAGTCAAATTAACTTTTGGCTTTCATATGCCCGTTACTAGGTTGTCTGCCAATAAATACTGGTTAACAAAGGGAAAGAGTAAGTTTCCTTCAAATGGAGAACTTAAAGCTCCTTAAAAGCACATGTGTCAGCCGTTGCTATTTAAGTGTTGCCAGACGTTTTTAATAAGATTTTGAATTTTAAAATCTAAAACGCTTTATTCTCAATATTCGCAAGCCATGTATTTTATATAAGCAATATAAAAAGTTTTATTTAAATTGGTCTCGCAATTTAAGTTTTTCATCCATGAAAATGTTACGATTAAATAAAATAAAATTGGCAACTGTAAACTCAATTTACAGTGCCATTTGAGAATACCAGCTGCCGCATTTTAACATAACTTATTTCGTTTACATTTCCAGCTGATTAAAACAGTGTCAATTGAGTAAATTGGCATGCCCAACATAGAACGTGAACGGATATGTATCGATACTGCGCACTTTTACTTCTAGTTTAAATGCGTGAAGGCTATCCAGGTTTGCGGGAATTAAATTAACAGATGCTTTTGACAAATTAAACCCTGCATTTAAATAGAATGTGCCAGAAAGCAGTTACTCATAATACAGTGGACACTTCCTATTCTACAATTGGTGCCCATCGCGTTTTTTGCTATTACTTATAAATACTTCTGGGTTTGTGTTAAGTGAACAACCGTTATATCCGCCATAATTTTTTCTGCGTTTCTATAGTCACATCGTGCTTTATATACACATCATTTTCATTTTTTTCTCTTGCATCGCGACGGTATTAATTATGAGTGTAGACGTTAATAATATAACGTGCGCAATATGTGGCATTTCAGCCAGCTTAATGTGTCAGCGGTGCGGAGAACCTTATTGCAGCGACGTCTGCCAGCGCAAGGATTGGCAACGGCACAAATATGTTTGCACCATGATGCCGTAAGTGTAAAAAAGGACGTACAAAATAAATTGAAATATTTTTTTGTACATTTTTTTATTATAGTAAACGTAATTGTGGCCGTCACAGTTGTATGGCTTTTAATGCCTATCGTAAAAGAAAAATATTTTACAAATGGTTTTCAATTTTATTCAGTTTAAAAATGCGTATAGCATTTCTACAATATATCCTTTTTTGTTGAGTTGAAAATAATTAAGTAAAATAAATCAGAAAATGTCCAGATTATTAAGGTTATATTGTATTATACCTATATATTTAGTTCGTAAATTACCAAATCTGTAATTTCCTTTAAGCTTCTCTACGTATATTAAGGTTATATTGTATTATACCATCTATTTACTTCGTAAATTTCATTAAGTGTGATTTCCTTTAAGCTTCTTTAAGTAATTGTAATATCAAGTAATATTCAAAGTTCAATAACCTTTAAACCTTTTTTCAATTTAATATAGACCTTTGGTGAACGTAAAGTCCTCCAAACAACTGGCAACTTATAAGCACGATATTGCTGCTGACCCCAACGAGAATAACGCAATGGCCATAAAGGAGTTGCCCAGTTGTAATGACAGCTTGTCATCTATGGTGAAAGATTTAACAATCGTGGATTCAAATGATAACAAATTGAGCCTAGAATGGCGTGAGTCTGTGATGCCACCAGTAAAAGAGTTCTTCGAGGGTCGCGTTACTTATATGGAAAACGACGGCCCCATTTGGGTAGTTGACGTGGCCAATACTGAGAGCCTGGAGCGTCTCACCAACAACATTGCGCGTAGCATGCAGCATCAGAAATCATGTTCAATTGAAGATGTATCTATAGGCAGCTTGGTTGGTGTCGCTGTTGATCATAAAATGTATCGGGGCGAGGTGATTGATGTAAATGTCTCCGCCGAATGTGCTGAGGTACGGCTCATTGACTACGGTGCAGTTGTTGCCTGCGATTTGCAGGACATTTATTTGCCTGTACAACGTATGGCGCGATACAAGGCGTATGCATTCAGGGTTAAGCTTCCCACCAACACAGGCGTACAGATCAATAAGAATCTGACGTTGCGCTTGTTAGGAAGCAAGACAATCGATGGCATAGAGCAGGTGCAGCTGAAGACCAAAATGGCAATTCCCTTTAATTTGCCGGTTGAACTGCTAATCATGAAACCGGAAGTGAGTGTCGTAAGAATTCTTCAGCAAAATGTATCGCTCGGGGAGCCGCAAGTGGCTTTATTGCAAATCAACGCGATGAAAAATTTAAATGACGAGCTAAACACCATTTTGAGTGAGAAGTCTGGACAGCAGTTTACGGAACCCTTTCGAGAAGACACACGGACATTCTTTCTGGCAGCTCGCACTAAGCATGGTTATCGACGTGCCCTGCTCCTGGACTTTATTAAGCAGCCCATGCTGTTCTTGGTATACGAAATGGACGAAGGATGCATTTCTTTAACCAGCGAGGTGTGCCGCATTCCCAATGAGTTTCTCGGCTATCCATTAAGCGTGTTTGCCGTCACCCGCGAAGAGGACAAGACGAGCTCCTTAAAAGAGCAGTTAAGGCAATGCGGTCCCGATCTATCCATTAAATTTAACATGGACAACTTGGCGGGAAAGGACAAAGACAAGCTGCGCACGGTGAAGGCAGCATTGTTTGCAAACAATAAACAGGTGTGCGCTGTGCGTGTAAACTCCTTCCTGGGTCTTGTAAACCAACTAGGACACAAGTATTGGCGGGAACCCATAGATAACAATAACTTGGTGTATATCTCGCACGTCGTCAACTACCAGGAAGTCTATATTAGCTCTGTGCAGAGCAAGCAATACGAAGATATATTCAAAAGGTTGGAAGTCAAGTGTCCGCCACTTGATAGAGAGATACTTACTGGAGACGTTGTACTTGTCGTGAGCTCCAGTCGTGCCAACTACCGGGCCGAGGCAAGATAAAACAATTTATGTTCAATTTCAATCTTATGTATCATTGTTTATCACAGATTACTGCCGTTGAGAACAATAAGTTTAGTGTTCGGAACATCGACACTGGCTCTACGCATCACGTGGCAGGCACTTATCTGCGCAGGCCTTGTAGATTTATTGAAAACTTACCAGTTAGCCAATGTCGTGTTAAAATAAAAACCATCTGCAACATACCGTCAACAGCAGTGCCACCAAATACAGCTGCTCTCCAGATATTGAAGAGGCTTTATGAACATAAGTCAGAGTTGCAAGTGAAGTTTGATGATTCCGACAGCAACACTGTTGACTTGCTTGATTTTACGGCCGAGCCGTATTCACTGATGACTCGCATGCTTCCAGTGTTGTTTACTCCTGTTGCAATTGAGCTGAAACCGGCTGAGGACTTACCTGAGCTAACTGCAGTTAACCCAAAGCCAATCAAACCATCACATGATCAGTATACTCCAGTGACTGCACTACCGCCTTTGCCGCCATCCCCGCCAAATTCACCGAGAGAACATCAGAAAACATCTAACCAAGTCCAACGGCACTACTTTAATGACTTGAAGCGTCATCTCTTGCCTCTGGGCGAGAATATGCAAGTTTTAGTTTTGCATGCAAATGGATTGCATAAAACAGGATACGTTACAGCATGTTTCTTTTCCAGCGAGAAAGAAGCGGAAGAATTCCAGGACTTGCTCAATCTTGTGGCCGAGATTGGAAGTTCTGACGATCAACTGCAGCCTGGCTATTTACCAGAGTAAGTGATGCAATGCAGCCATGGATTCAATTATTTAATCTGGCCTCTTTTCAATAGAGTTGGCGAAATGTGCCTTGCCCTCTTTGTCGAGGATAATTCTTGGTACCGAGGTGTTTGTAAGCGGATTACCGGTCAGAAAGCTCTTATTTTGTACTGCGACTTTGGAAATTTAGAAATGGTTTCCGTAGAACGGATCAAACCAATTACAACCGAAGTGCTTCATGGTGTATATGCCACAACATGTTTTATAGATGGTAAATGTTATTTGGAACTTTTTTTTTTAATAATCAACTTAATACTCATTTATAGGCTTCAATAAAGGCAACAATTTTTTGAATCTTGAGCACTATCTATCCAATAAAAATAAGATTATTTGTGATGTGCTCGATGGACCAGAGCCCAACACCCGTGTGATTAAAATTCCGTTATTGGATAAGATATTGTCAAAGGAACTGATTTGAACTACGTATTCTTTAAAAAACACTTCTCTTCTCTTGCTATGGAAAGCGTGATTTTGTTATGTTTATAATATAAACAATTGAAAACTATTGTTACTTTTATTTCTGAGAAATTTCAAATAAAAAGAATATTTTTATTTTGACAATACATTGGATGATTTTTTAATTTATTATCTATATATATATATATATATATATATATATATATATATATATATATTGGCTAAATATGCAATAAATGAAAGCATCTGTAATAATCAACCAATTGGTTTTAGGGTCTTGACTATTTACGTGTCAAAAAGTATAAATTGCCCAACTATGCCATTGAGATAGGTGGAACAGATTCGGTTTTCACTTTATTAGGTACAAATATGAACATCTCAGTTACAACAACAATATCAAAGGAGATAACAATAATAACAACACTCAGTTCTCAGAAAATTTGTTAAAGATTTCATTTAAGATCGTGATATCTCTTACGGCTATTAACCCATTGGAGTTGCGTTTCCAATCGGAGTCGGATTCTGACTTGTCGAAATACTTTATAGGTACGGGAAGCTGTTGTTTTATGCTAGCGACATAGTCGAACACATCCCCTCCAAGGGCGCGCAGAATCGCTTGCGGACCACAGGTATCCCAACGAAATGTTGAACCTTTACTGAGTAAATAGATGTCCGCATCATTGGAGATAACTTTTAACGCTTTGTGGCCAGCTCCCGCTGAAAAGGCCAATTCATAGTTTAAATCGAGAAAATGTTGAAGTATTTCGGACTGCTCCGAAGTAGAGAATATTCCAATTTTTCTATTAGCACGACGTCCGTCTGTGTCTGAATTGCAGTTATGGGCCTTCACAGATGGCAAACAGACTCCCCAATTTAAGGAAGAACTATATACGCGCTCCTCCAACTTATGGCCAAATGGTTGAGAGACTATGCCGATTACAGGCACTCCGCTGTCGTGTTCATAGACGCCAATCAATACGGTAACACAGTCCAGGCCTGTGGAAGTGATGCCAGGAAAGTCGGTAAATATGGAGTCGCCAGAAATGTACTCAGCAGTGGCATCTGAAATAGAATGATAGTTATCCACACTGTAGAGAAGCTTAAGCCTTACTATACCAATAGGATCTATCCAAATGCCCAGATTACTATAGTCCAGTGTTTGTGGTAGATCCGGAATATCTTCAAGAGTTGTATCGTATTTGACGTTCCTATGCACTTCGGCTGCCAATGCATCTGCCGCATTCCTATGGCCATCAAGTACCGCTTCCAATCCTTTAGCAGTTTCCACTTCTGTGTCGCCAACGGCTATAGTTATTTTCTGGCCGAGTTTGTTGGTAAAATGTGTGGATTCTTCGCCGAGAATAGCTTCACGCATCTCTGGAAACAAGTGGCCTACTTCATGCCTTATAGTTTCCTGGATTAAGACATCGGCCAGTGTCTTAAAATCATGTTCGAACCGTTGATTCGCCTCGGCTCCAGTTTTCTCCTGGACGAGCAGCGCTAATAGATCTTCATTCGAGCGACAAACGCGTGCAATATTTGCCGCTTTTTCTGCACAATTAATTAGAACCCGAAGTAAATTTCTGCTCTCAGCCATTTCTACAAGTATCTTAATTATTATTGCATACTTTTAACGTTTTCAACTTCACTTTTAAGGTTTCATTTCAGGGGCTTAAACATAATTTGTAATTGGACGCTATCAAGCATCGACTGCCGCCACAGCGCATCTAAATATATCGATACAATGCGATAGTTCTGGTAGTGCCAACTCATCACAAATCTTATTTAAAAACGTTTTTTTTGTATAAATAAATAAAAAGAAATACATGTAAATAGTTGTATTAATTTGTACTATAATACAAAATATACATATAAATATTTTGCGTAATAAACTTTTAAGGCTGCAGCAAAATGTTGAGTTTTTCTCAAGAATTCGATGCGGCAATTACATCTTTATTGAAACAATTTTAATTGGCAATTAATAATTACGCACTCACCGCCCCATTTAGCGTGTGCAGAGAAATTTATAAATCATGTTCGAGGAGTAATAAGTAGAACGAGTGATGCTGTTGCTTATGATGATGATGCAGCCATAGCTGCTGCCGCTGCACAATTTGCACTCGATCTTATCGACGAGCACCGCTAATGATTCGCATTAATGATGCTCTGCCTCGCTCTCGCACTCATCCCGCTATCATCTTATAAAATGGGATCATCAATCAGCTCTCCTGCCGCATCCCAGCGCCTGCATTGGCGCATTTGCATATAAATTGCTGCTAATGTCGCGCTATCAAAGTGACTGCATCAATGTGGCAACGACTACGCATTCTTGCAATGCCAGCTTCGCCACGCCCCTCCCGCACTGCAGCAGAATTGAGTGCCCTACGGGCCAAGTTATTCGTGTATCGCTTGGCTTATGCTAATTTTCCCAGGCAGCAGCAGCACACTGAGCCAGGCCAAGCAATTGATGTTTGGATAACGTTGACTTGATGACTTTGCATAATTTACGCCACGCAGCGGCAGCAGCAGCAGAAGCCGAAGCAACAATGACAACAACAACAACACGGATTCTCTTTGAGCTAATTTTTCACTCAAACGCACGCGTTGCCTTTAATGTGTTAATATTCATGCGGGCTGCAGCAACAACAAAACAAGAAAAACTGCAGCATATGTCGTTTTTCTTTTTGTCCAACTTTTTAACTCTTTTTGACATTTCAATTTCATTTTGGCAATGAGCCTTGCTCATTTCATGCAACTAAGATACGAAGTATTTATATGAAGTTCAGTCTGAGATGTTTGTTCCTTGTTGTATTTCTTCTTTTTGGGAATAGTATGTTTTTTTTAATACTATTTATATAGATAAAATATTGATTATATGCAAAAACTTTGTAAATTTGCCAATACAGAGATAAATCAAGCTTAGCAAGATATATCACCCGTTCAGCCTTACAAAACAAAGACAAAGGTATTTTCGTTCTGTGCCGTTTTAATGTTCAAATCAAACTAAATCAAACTAAAAACTAAAATACCAAAAGATTCTTATGCGAAGCTAGCCCTGCCCTATATTCGCTGCTACAGCGATTTGTCCAAACGGATCATGTGATTCGTACATGGTACGTTGATCACTGCCCAAAGGTTTTTGGAATCCGCTGGCTGCAACATCGTTGTAGTATTATTCTGTGCAACGATCAAGTTCGGAACTTGCTGTTTATGCACAAAAAGGTATTTGAGACGTTTAGCTTATTCTTGGCCTTTTGCTGGTTGGATGTGTTAACTTATATATATATACTGTGGCCCTCTCCCTCTATATAAAGAGTTTAGTTAAGTTGATCTATCTAGCCGAATTGTGAACAATAAACAATACGCTGATCAAATTTAGAAAAGAGATTTAGACTTTGGCTTATTTTAGTTTTGCCTTGGATACAACATTTAAATATTAGAGAATTGGACTTCTGGGCGTTATATTCGTCATACTTCATGATGAAGCTAAGGAGCTCTCAAATATAGTATAGCAAAAGAAAAAATACAGTTAGTTATGACGATGCTGTAATTGTGGCAACAAGTTTGTCGCCTAAGTCTTTTGTTTTACTTTGAATAAAATAACGAAAGCGAATTTAAGACAAATATATTCATTAGGGCTGTGAGATGCTATACATGGCTACACATGTTTAGCTGTTGCTTTGTCTGAATGCTTTGTGTACCCTTTCTCAAGTCTAACAGCCTTTTAATTAATCGCTTGAGTTAAACAAATTCTTAATGAGTCTTTAATTAATCGCCAAAAACGAAATATAAGCCAGTCGTCGCAACTCTCGTTGTGTATAAATATTTAAATTTGTTGTGACTTGATTTCTGTTATGGCTACAACATTGTTCGTGCCGCAGTTGTTCGTTTCTGAGCTGCGACGACTCCTCCCCTGAGGTGTTTTAAACGAGTTTGAATACTTCTATAAATTTATTTGTTTGTCTTTTATCATTTCTGTGATATTAACTTCATTATTAGGAAGATGGCACGACAAAATTGACAATATTGATAACTGTTTTCATAATTCCAAAATCGGTCTTCTGTTTGGGGGCGTTGCCAATTTAAGTCTTCATTAATTAGCTAAGTAGACGCGACCTGCAAACGCTTGGTGACAGCAACAAGTTGGCAGAGTTGTATGAGAGAGCGAGCGAGGCAGACAGCAGTTGTTGTCTGCTGCAAAATGTCTACCCATTGAACATAGAACTTGTCTTTACCTGTTTTCGATTGGTGCAATTGCCAACAAGCTGCTGATCTGCAGAGAGCCCAGCACCCACTCGTCGCAGCTGCAATGTTGCGCCGTGAAGTAAGTAATACAAATCGTTGAGGTTTCTTTTTTAATGAAATTTATAGTTTTAAATACAATCAAATATTTTGTGGCAATTGCTTGCTCTTGCTCGTCTCTGCTCAGTAGATTTTAATTTGTACTGCTTTATTTCTCTTTAAAAGTAATTAAATTTCGAAAACAAATCCTATTTAATTATAGTTTAAGTAATAATAACTACGAAATTAGTAAATATAAAAAATAAATGAGTATTAATTATTTAAATAATATAAATATTTAATATAAATATTTAGTTACGGGTTAGTTTACTTTTTAATTAGAAGAGTCTGAGTATTTGATAATTTTAAGAAATCGAAATGGATCGATTTTAAGAGATCTTGCCTTCCGTTCGCCTGTTGAGAATGGGATTTCCACAAATATAGATTTCGATCAGTCTGGCAGGTGGTTTGCTGTTGACCTTCAATTCAAATCAGCTTCATACTATCGTATCGTATCGTAAATCGTATTTTATAATAACGACTATTATTTCTTGTTTGTTTTTTTTTTTTTGACGAGCTTTGTCTTCCTCTTTATGTCTCTCACCTTCTACAAAACTTTTTGATTCTTCGCGTAGGCCTAAGACAAATCCGATCTATATTTTATGGTTAAACTTTATGCATTAGACGATACCTGAAGAATATTATCTACAGCTGTCGTCATAATTGCAACAGTATATATTTAACTGTTAGCTGTATTTGTTAGCTATCTTTCATTCACTATATTTGACAGGAAGAGAATTGAAATTAGCTTGGTCCGCCGACCTCTGGTCGTATGCATTATCCTAACAATGGATCGCATATCGAGCGGAAGTAAAATCGTATAGGAATATGAATGTGATTCTCGGACGAGTGCATATAAATTTTATGGCTTTTACGCAGCGTTTGCCATTTTGCCACTTTAACATTATTGTTATGATGATAAGCGAGCGAACGTTGCAGCGACCATGTCGAACGTGCTGGGCGAAGGCTGCCTGCGGAGCGAGGTCTCACCTCTGGCCAGAATTGGGGATGGGAGTGGGGAGCGGGGTATCTGGGGAGTCTGGGGTCTCTGTGTCTGCCAATGCAGAGGCATGCTTAATGGCCGGTGGATGGGATTGTGGCCAGAACGCATCCTGCCTCCTTTTTTGACCATTGACGTTGTTGTTCTGTTTGCTGATCTCGGCGCGATCTGCTTCATGACTCTGGCTTGTTTGGCTTTCCACCATATTTAAAACCATTTCATTTTCTGGGGGCCGGAGTGTGAATATAGTTTAATATGTGTGTGTGTCTCTCGCTGTCTGGCTCTCGCTGTGTGTGTGCAATTTTCAATACCGCTGCCTGTCCCTCGCCCCACTTGGCCCACTTGCCGATATTATTTATTATGCTTGATTGGTTTTCAAGTGATCATAAAGTAAATGATCGTCGTTTTGGGTCGCAGACCTGGCCCCGACCAGTCTGTGGCAATTGTGGCGCTGTCTGTTGCCATTGAGCTGGCTCCGCTGTGGCGTTAATATGTAGATTTCTGCATTGGAGGCGTTAGGTGAAGATTTACGCGACGGCCAATGAATTGTGGCAGCTTTTCCATAGACAAGCCCGGGGTCCTGACCCTGTCCATGTGTGCATGTATATATTGTTTGGATAGAGATAGCTTCATTTGCTGCAGACACCTTGCATTCCAATGCCCATATCCTGCTCAACACCCACACGCAGCGCACTTCTCTGATGGCCTCCAACAATTTGGCATTAACATTTAATTGACATTGATGATTGCGGCAACGGACAACTCTGAGAACGGCTGGCTACCTGTGCAGCGTGCTTGGCATGGGAATGCGAAAGCGAATGGCTGGAAATTATTAAAAATCATATCGGACCATTGTGACAGCTGAGCTGCGTATGTCAAGCATACTCATCTAGTCCTTGTCGTATACGTAAGTAGTTAGTTGCCAGCCAACTGACATGAAGAAGACATACAAATAAATTTGTGGCACTTGCAGACATTTGCAGCCGAAGCAGCAGCAGCAGCAGCAGCAGCAGCAACTAGTAGGCGATTCGGGTTGAGATATAGCAGTGGGTGACTTGGGCCAGCCACTGGCAGATGCCAGCTGGAAGTGCGCGCAGACAGGTCTTGCGTTTCTAGCGCCAATCTCTCAAAGTAACTCAAAGTAAATGCTTAAAGTCAACGCCGAGTCAAGTCTTTGGGCGCTACTTTCGACTCACATGCATGCATACAAAAGCAAGTGTATGTGTGTGTGCGCGTATACTCGTGGCTTGTTTATTTGTTTGAGTGTGTTTTGTTTTCGCTGCTTTAAATGAACGTTATTAAGAGATGGTTATCTCTGAGTGATTTATTCATTAAAAAGGCATTTATTAGTCAGAAACAAGCCAATGCCAATGCGTGTGTTTGTGTGCGTGCTAGCTATACTCACTTACACACGCGCACATCGACACCTCCACATGGCCGACACACATTTGAGCCGCTGCGGCTCGTTTGCTTGCCCGCTCGTTGCCTCATTTGTGTGGCATTAAAATGCAAAAGCGTGTTTGTTCCTGGAAAAACTGCAAGCACATATGGCCGATAAGGAGGGCGCAGGGCGGCGGGTGGAGGGGGGTGTAGATGTGGCCAGCTGGATGCCGTGTGTGTTTTATTGACTCGCATATTTCCATAATGTGATGTCTGTGTGCGTTTTTAATCACTTAATTAGAGAGTTTTTTAATTGTCTTTAGTTGAAGTTATTGCAATTTATGCGAAAGGTGTGCGCTGTTTGCGTGCCGGGCAGGAAATGTGACTTGCTGGCCAAGTTCGTGTCTTAAGTCTTTTGTTGCAAGGTGCTTGGAAAGTGCGTGAGTAAAAACCATAGTATAGTCGCAGTGTAGCCTCACTGAGCTGAGCTTCAGACCTGGATAAAGTCCCTTGACTTATTCTATATTCTTATTTGATCTTAGCCACTCACTGATTGGGAGTACACATATTTAGACATTGATAGCAATTTAAAAATTACGTAAACATCGACAATGGCTATGCTAACGATAGCCAGACCAATAAAATGGCAGAAAACCAAGGCAGAGAGTCAAGGCACGAGGCCATCCCATAAATAGTTGTTAGTCCCTCTTGAGAACTCGAGACAGGTGAAGAGCGGTTGGAATTGCAGTCGTCTGTTAATCACCTCCTCGCCCATTTGACCATGTATCATTGGACGGCCAAGACGGGACCGACAATTGGCCATGTTAGAGCCTGGTGGCTTCTTCGTTTTGGTGTCATAAGGAAGCGTCTAAATGATTCATAATTTATGCCTAGCTCTTTGGCTGTCCCTGGCCATGTCCATGGCGATTCCCGTTCCCAGAGTCATTCACTTGGCCATTCAATGCTTTCGTTACTTAATTTTTTCAACTTAACGTACTGGCTTGTGCCTGCCTGCCTGAATCATGCCCCCAGCTCTGCCCCACCCTTGCTTGTAATGCGTTATGGCTGCCACAATGCGTGGCCGTCATCGTCGTCGTCGTTGCCGTCGTTGTCGTTGTCGTCGTCGTTTGTCTGGGACGTTGATAGTTGAAAAAATTACTTACAAATTACATGCGTAGCTTATGCCCCCGTGCCGCCTTCAGCTTGTTTGCTTAATGTGCTTTGTGGCGGGTTGAGACTGGGCTCATGTCCAGCCGATGTCCGTTGCTGCTGCTGGTATTAGTATTATGTCCCGTGGCTGGGTCGTAAATTGCTTTTCCTAATTGAATTCTGAGCACTGTCAAAGCGAGTGACAGTCAGGTGGGTGTGGGCCTCTGCCACAACCGTGCAAGAATGGGTTTTAAATGCAACAGCTGTGAATGAATTATCACCATCAGTCGATTATAAAACAAAATAATTCTGCGAATTGTTCTCATTAGCTAAAAATTCTTAATCATTTTAGTGCTTTAATCTCACTCGGCGATTGCAATAGCAGCAGATTAATCTACATATTTAATATAGTGGCAATTACGCCTGTTAAATAATGCAATTTTGCAATAACAATAATTATAATTGAGTTAACAAGCCAGAGCGAAAGGGGAGCGACTGGTAAAGGGCTTGCAAGCGAGCTTTTAGGTTTTGCGGAATTTTTCGCATGGTTTAAAATGCAGCACGAAACCTGGCCATAAAGTGTAGTTGCGTTTAGCTTAACCAAGTCGACAATTTAAAAAGCCAATTTGCACATAATACGGGAAACGTGAGCGAAAATCTTAAACAGAATTGTCCAAGCAAGCAATTTCAACGCATGTGTGCGCGAACAGACGCTAATGCTAATGCAAATGCAATGTTGTTGGTTTGGCTTGATCAGCTTATTAAGAAAACATTAGCTCGGCTTGACCCAAATTTCCGTTGGCATGCTAATTTGAATTTGCGCGCGCTTCCCAACACTGGCGAAAGCATATGTGTTCACGATCTGGCAGCACTTGTGGCGAAGGCGATGCGCAATTAGATTTATGCTACGCAAATTCATGTGCTGCTGCCCCACTTCAGACAAATGGGTCGGAAGAGAAGAAAGGAGCCGAAACAATTGAAAGTTGGCGACTTTGTGTTCGCCAAAGTGCGTGGTTTTCGCGCTTGGCCAGCACGTGTTCTGCAGGAGGAGGGTAACATGTATCAAGTCTACTTCTATGGTACTTGCAACATTGCCAAAGTTCGTGCCACTCAGCTCTTCGACTACGAAAAGAGCAAAGTACGATTTGGCCAGCTGAATCAGAAAAAATACGGTTTATTTCGAGAGGCCATGCAGCACGCGGAGAAGTCTCTGGCCCATCCAGGTGACGATCAGGGCTACTTTGAGGCAAAGGCTGAAAAGTCCGTCGAGCAGTCTTCGGCATCAACTACACCCAAGGACTTGAGAAAGGTGTCAGGGAAGGTGATTCTGCCATTTATACATATAACCGGCGACTCGGATTAGAGCGCATAATTAATGTAGTTTAAGTTTAAACAAAGTTTTCTTTTTCTAATGGAATTTAATAAATAAATGTTTTTCAGTTTATTTTTTGCCTTCTTTCCGGTAATTGGTTACAGCTTCATCTCTGAGGGTATCGAGCGTCACGTGGCAATTAAGGATTTCGGGGCTGTTGTGTTTATCGCGTGGGCGTGTTTGCGCTCGTAATGGCCCCTGCGTGACGCAAACAAACAAAGAGAGCACACATATGTATGTATGTGTACGTGTGTGTGTGTTTCACAGTTAATCAAAAACTGCGTGATACACGTTTCGATTGCCGCACAAATGGCAACGCATTAAATTCTGCGCCATCAGCAATCCCCGAGTCACCCTGTGGACATGGGCGTCAGCCTGCAGAGCGGGCATAGTTTAGCTTAATGGCTATCGTAAAAAGTGCGCTGCCCATCAAACTGGCAGATCCTTGTTGATGTGTATGTATGTCGGCCACCCTTGTCTTCAATTGAAGGGGAGCAGTAGCTGCTGTGATCTTTGGCAAGATTCGTTTAATATTAACAAATTATCTGAGCCGCAGCAAATTAATCGCTGCGCAGTTGTTACATTGCCAGCATCTGCGGTGGCAACTTCACAAAATATTTAGGTTAGCAAGGCGGATGCTGTGGCTTCTACTGTTGCTGCAACTGCTGTTGCAGTTAACCACAAATCAGATTCACTAGCTCTGCAATGAGATTTGGCTGCCAGAAACAACAGTTTGAGTTTAACACGAGATATTTTGTGAAGCTTTAAGACGTCCAACAACTTGCATCATCTGCCTGCGATATTTTTCGGAGTTGCAGCATCCGTGACAGCTGTCCTGTGTTTTGCGGTAGACCATAACGCATAACGATTCCTGGACAGATTTCTTGAGTAGTTAACTATTTACGCATAATTCGTTTCACTCTCTTTTTTAGTGGATTTTTACTCACTATCCCTTGGCCCACGTCCAGGGCAGTAAAATGTCAAATTAATGTTACGACATGTCCAACAACTTTTGATGGCATTTGACAATGTAGACTTGGAAATTCCTGCAGGTGACGCAGTGCCCCTGTAATTTGTTTGGCCGCACGTACGTTGGACATGATGGAGCATTGTCAGCTTGTGCCTGCCCAGCATAAACAAAAACAAAGCGCGCCAAGGGACCTGCAACTGTAGAAAACTGGATGGCAGGTGCTGACCACGACGAGGCGGAGGAGGAGTGTGCTGCCAGGGGCTCCAGATCTGGCCACCAAAAGGTGTCAATGTGTGGGCATGTCGCACACGTGTGCCTTGCGGCCCGAGGCTATAAATTTACTTTGTTTATTCGTTGCAGCCAAACGGCAACCACGGAAAACAAAACGAAACAGTTCAAGAGCCAAAAGACTTTCGGCGGAAATTTGCTTAGGAAATCAAATTAAAATTTGCTAATTTATCAGGCGTTTTCAAATCGTGCCAACAGCGGCAGCTAATTGGCAGCAGTTGGTGCGAATACACATACATACATATGTATCTGCAAACATTTGTGTTATCGAATAATTGGGTGGCTCGAAAAATGACAACAGAACAATAGCATTTTAATTAAAATACCAAAATGTTTGCAGGTTTATTTAGTTCTTGATCAGAATACTGGCATTAATCAAATTTTAGCAATTAACTTTGGCAAAGAAACAACTCAAGGGACAACAAATAAAAGCACGATTGCTTATTAGATAAAGTCCGTTGAGCTTACTGATTCTATAGGGAAACTTACACTGTGCAGCGTGAAACAGCTTCTTCGAAAATGAATTTCAATCTCCAAATGTGCCAGAAAAAAAATATGAATTAAATTCAAACAATAGTCTTTTATAATCGATTATTGTCAATCAACGATAATCAAACAAGATTTTCCATCACTAAATTTAACTTTGGAATTTTGAGAATGCTATTAATGTGGTTGTTTAGATCGGCAAATATGTGCTCTCTGCTCTGTTTTGTTGTGCTGTGTAACCCCTTTGGAAGACACACGCAGTATAATCAACTACGTCCAATTTGATAGGCCAATCAAGGACTTAATTTTGCGCCTTTTTGACGACCATTGTTACGCACTCGATGTACACATGTTATTATTAGTGGTTACACGCAGCCAACCCCTATTGTATATAGTCTGTAGATATGCCCTCCCTTGAGCACCCCTTGTTCATTTCTTACAATTCATAACTGTCATGTAATGTGTCATAGACGTAATCGATTCCAAGTCGGGTAACATTGCAGTCGCAATGCATAATCAAGACATAAATTTCTTGCGGTTTATGACAGTAGCTCTTTGGGTCAGCAGGTGAAAACGACACGATTCGATGTCATCATTCATAATTGGATGTTAAGCAAAGGCTTGCCATCAAATATGCCACACAAACAAACAAATTCAATATGCAAAGCGTCTACGATTTTTATTTGCACTCGTGCGCACAGTGGGTGGCATCAACAATGGGACACAGTCTATGTCTCATGTGGCTTGATACTTTACTGGCTGTAAACATTAATTGATTTGTGCCAAAAGCCGAACAACTTTTTAGGCCGTTCACCGAGCCCCCATCCCCCGGGCTAATTAAGTTATGCCACAGATGGCAAATTAACATAAAACTTTGCAACATTAAAAATGATATTCACTTTATTATGCTCATATATTGACATTTGAGGTGCTCTTTTTTATGGTTACTTTGTGACAAAATTGATTAATGAACTCATTTATTTGTGTCGATAGCAAATGGAGAATTTTTATGATACACTCAAAGAAATATGACGAATTATAAATGTAGCTTGCGGGCCTGAGCTTCGATTTCTGTGACAAAACTTGCACAATTTCTGATTTTCTATATCATTTTCTTTTTTTTTTTTTTTGGTCTGGCAGTGAAAGTGGAACTGTTAAATCTTGACCATAAACATCACATATTAGGCGGAGCTATTGTTTAACACTAAGGTATGGGCGGCATATCGAAAACTTTTTATGATCGAACTTAAAACTTAACTCATAAAAGGGATTAAAAACAATAAAATAATAAAATATTACTTAATTATGTAAATTAATTTTTTTTCATTACGAACAGAAAATCAAACGAAATTCAGTTTTGTTATAAAATAAGTTAAGACTAAACTCCAAAATATTTTGCTTGGATTTGCAGACCTCGTTGTAACAATAGATGATTCTCTTGCCAATTAACGGTATTCACATGACTCGGGACCATATTAATTCAGAACAACCATAATGGGCAATAGATGAATAGTTAACAACAATCATTTGCGTGTTGAACACTCAATATATACTCGTATAAACAAATGCATATATTATACTGTGGTGCTATAAAATGCGTTGAAATATCTCTAATAACTAACATAAAACAGGTCGTAAAATGGCAATCAAATATTAGCCTGAGGCATCCAAAAATAGTCGTCATAGAAAGTGGACATAAAATTTGTGAATGTTAACAGCATTCTTAACAAATTCATTTCGGCACGCATTCGGCGTTTGGGGTAACTCTGAAATGATAGATAGATAGATGGATATTCAAAGTTCAGTTGAGTCGAGTGAAACTGTTAACGTGACTGTCGCGTCTGCTCTACCGATTAATTGATAGACCCATACAAAATTTGTGAAAGCCATCGCGTCTTGGTGTCCACAATGAGCGCCTTCTACGCGTTTATAACTCTATTTATAATTTTGGATATTCAGTTTGTGTGTTTCTCGTGGTTTGGTGTCAGCTCTCTTTGTGTTTGTGCATGGTATGTATCTTGTTAATGGCCGTTTTTAAAATGCCATAAAATCGCTTTATAAGTTCATGATATTAATATGCACAACAATATTGGACATTATTATAATATATTGAGGAGTATCTAGCGCACACAAAAGCGACCCAAATGAGCCGTAGACCGATCCAATCTTTGATTTTGGTCAACATCAACCAACAACTATGCACACCCTGTGGTGCACATTAACCAACTTCAAAACAATGACAAGCCCATGTACCGCCGGGATAAGCGTGAAGTAGTGTGCAGAGCGGGGAGCCCAAAAAACATTTCAATTTGTATTTGGTGCTGGAATATTTTTGTATTTGGGTATCAAATTGCTGGCATTTTTCAGGTCTTTCATAAATTAAGGGCTTGTTACATAGCCATAGTACGGGTAACAAGAGCATATGGGAACAAGTGCTGCTGATAAAGCAGCTAAAGATCGCACGTTATCGAAGTCTTCCATTGGCTCATAACTAATTCTCCAATATCCTGGGAAACTGATAAGCTGTTGTGTGGGTACCCGTACTGTGGGGATGTAGCACTTAATAAATACTTGTTAATTTATTACAACAAATTGCTAGTAGATTTATAACTCTGGTGTAAATTATGATATATCTATATTATGTTATTTTGAATTTATATTTTTGAAATTATAATAAAATAAGAAATTATTAAAAAAATTTAAATTTTAATATTAAATAATATTTATTACATATATTATTAATATTTGTTAGTTTTTTCGGTACAACTTGATGTGGGGCGATAGCTCGTGACAGGTAACGAATATTTGATTTTATTCTGAGCTCTAGCTATTCAATGGATCGCCCTGTGTTTTTATGTATAAATAGAAGCTTTGTGCATCTATGAAAATCTAAAACATATTAAATTTACTTAACACCTCAACTCATCAAGCAAGAATGGAGGACTCTTGGAATATGTCAGAGCTCATGTTATCAGATGTGCTCGTGTCCAATGTCTACAACCAGTTTTTCCACCAGAATCAAAATCTGTTCAAGGATAAGGTGTGCTTTCTTTACTTAAAGCCTTTTCATATCCAAAATTAACCCATAGATTGTGCTGGATGTGGGCTGCCGCAGTGGGCTGCTGAGCATCTTGGCTGTAGAGGCGGGCGCTGTGAAGGTGTTTGCTATTGGCAACATGCGAAGTGCCAAATGTATTGCGAAGGTTTTGGGAAATGGCGAGCGGGCGGAGATTTTTGAGCCGCTCAATGGTTGCATTACGCAAATCATATTGCCCTGTGGACTGAGAAAAGTGGATATAATAGTATCCGAGTGGATGGGGTAGGAATTGCTGACTTGTAGATATCAATCAGACTTATTGATTGCATTCATATTGTTTATTAAAAGGCATGCCCTATTCGCGGACTCTTTATTCTGCCAGGTGCTATACGCACGTGACAAGTGGCTGATAAAGAATGGCTTTATCTTTCCCAGTGTGGCCAATCTCTATATACAGGGCATATCATTAAATCGTGAGCTGTTGGTTGATAAAAACGTGCTGATAATGGAAGACTATGTGAATAGACAATCGTTGATAACAGAAAAGTGTCTACTAAAATCAATAGACCTCACCTCAATCAAAGATGACATTGAATTCCAAAAGGCCGACTTCAAGATGAAAGCACTGCGAAATGGAACGATGTCTGCGTGTCTTCTCTACTTTGACATATGTGCCACAAATGGCAAGGGTCAGCTGCAAAAGTTGTTTTCAATAGGACCAGAGGCGCCCAAAACGTATATGATGCAAACAATTCTATTTTTGAAGGAAGATGCCCTCGTAGTTGCAGAACAGCAGATTCTGTTTGGGCGCTTAAGCATGATACTTGGCTACTTTGCACCACGCGGCGTTGAGTTCTCCCTGGGCATATGGTTGGCCAAGTAGAATATTGTATTTAATAAAGGGTAAATACTGATACGAATACTGAAACTGATGCGTGATGCCGGATGCTTGATGTATTCATGGCAGCATTTGGGCGTTCGCCTCAAAGGCCAACACGTCGATCTGGGATCTGGGTGAAGTCTGGGCGAGCAGCGATGCTCCGCTCAACGGTCGTTGCAAGATCAAAATTTATGGCCGTGCTGCATCAATTAGGGCGGTAGCCCGACGACTGCCAACTCAAAAGACAATGGGCATCGCGGGTTTGGTTTGCGGGTTTTTTTTGCTGACCTGATCGGTGTTTAGCTTTGACGTCGCTACAACGATTTAAAATGATGTCGCGCATAATTCACTGATCGAGTACGAGATCGATTTAGTATGCAGCGATCAGCGTTCACGTTTTGCCAGACTTTACGTCGTGCTAGGGCTCCAGTCTCTATCCCTGTTCTCTCTGTTCTGTCTGATCTGTGCCCTCGTTTACAGTTAAGTTCTTATGTTCAAATCTCATAACTGATCGCCGATCGCACTTGGTTAACGCTCCATACAAGGCAGAGTACAATGGGATATCAGCTTGTCCTGCTCGCTTGCCAGCGCTGTGAACACAAATTCGTTTTTTAAATGATATCCCTTGGAGAATCGATCCACTGACCGCTCTCAGCTCGCATGCTTAAGTGACATTTTGCGGGACGTGGGTCTGTGATGGATTAGCATCATTTTGCCGTGAGGATAATGTGTCGTCTGCAATGATTTTGGTTGACATGTTTTTGTTTTTCTCTTTTATTTTTGGCAGTTGCTTGAGGGTATCGTGCGTAAAACCAAGGCTGTTCTCAGAAATAATTATGCTGCTTTTGCGCAAAAGTAACAGCATTTTTGTACAAATTGCATAAAAATTTAAATTGGCCAGCAAAAGTTTTTGATTTTCGCGGCGAGCTCAGAAAATTGCTTAATAATGAAATGCCAATGGATTAAGCGCAATTTGTGCGGTATGCGGCATTCCGCATGGGGCATGGGGCATGCAGCGGGCTCACTGATCCGCACCACTCACTGAATTCCACTCAAAAGCTCCCTTTTCTTTTCTTTATCTTTTTGGTTAAACAATTGCCCCGTTCAGCAGCTTGATTTGCTGAAATTTTACTTTATTTTACACCTACTCTGAGCAGGCCGAACGACCGTCTCATTCTAGCTCATGCCAGCTGTCTCTTTCTTCAGCTTTCAGCCTTTCGCACGCTAGCCTTGCAGCGTTTTCATTAAATTCGCTTAATAGCGCAATATAATTTAAACAAGTAGTAACATAAAATAAAACTCACAGCAACGCATTGAAAAGCATAAAAAGAGGCAAATGATGCCAGGGCAGAGTTGGTCCGCTCCGAGTTGGCCTGGATCTGCGCCACATTCCGGTTCCATGCCATGGCGCATGGGCGAGACGCCCGGCTTGGGCCGCAAGTGCAATAAGTTCGCTTAACGAGGGTTTAATTTATGATTTGTTATGTTTCCGGTTCGTGTTCTTGTGGCCGATGCTAAAAATTATTGGCAATAAAGCTAAGGTGTGGATTATCGTTGGTTGGTAGCTTATGCTGCTGCAGCCAGTTGGCCACTGGGAATGCTCAGTGCTGCAGACGGCTTGTTGCTGGCGAAGGTGACCAACGATTAGCGATAGCTCTGCGAAATGATGCTACAAATATAGATAAAGCGCACATAGGAGCTGAGCTGATCAGATCAGATCCGATCATATAGAACTAAAAGCATTGCTGGTTCTTAAGAGCAGTCGCCTAATTTCACATACGCCACAGTTTTGTCTGTGCCACTAATAATCGCTAATCCTTTCACGCTCACTGTGCATTTGCAGCAACACAGACCGAGGCAGCCAACCAGCCTGCCAAGCCAGCCCAGTCAGTCAGCCAGGCATGAAGAATGGCAACCGCATCGGGAGCGGGAATGGGTAACGAGGGACGTCGCATTGCGTTGAAAATCGATTTGTTTGGGTTGCGCCTGCGCAAACAACGCGGCCCCTGGATAAGAACGGATAAGAAAATAAGCAAAGACACCAAAGGGACACAGGCGCTGGGAAGAGGGGGCTGCGACAGGGACAGAGTCAGGCGCTGAGGCACGACGGCGAAATGGTTCAAGCCAACGCCAACGAGTATCTGCTGGAACATAAATTACGCGACTAACAAGCAGCGCCCCGTGCAGCCAACCAATACCAACTTGGCCGAGAGCTAAAAAAGATACAAAGCTCAGGCTCAGCCTGACTCGGAGTGGCTCGGATGGGCACTTGGGAACAGGCTGCAATGGCCGTGCACTAAAGAGCTCAGCCTGGTCAAAGTGAGTTGCAGAAAATTATAAATGAAAGCGGGTGTTGGACGTCGTTCACAGGCGAACAGCATCTCGACGTGGCAGCGCAGCGCAGCGCAGCATCCCAGCAGCATCCACGTCCACGATTAGGTGTAGCAATTTGGACGGGCTGCCTGTGATTGAGACCGAGGCAGTGTTCGAAACGAAGTTAAAAATCAAATTAGCGAATGTGTTGAAAATTAAAAACAAATTCACGGATAAATTGCATCTGCCAGATACGCAATTATTATGAGGGTAGACAGGGCCAAGCGCAGGGAGAGAGACGAGCACTACCTCTGACTTATGGACTGTCCAGTCAGTCGCTCTGCCTGGACCGTGGCTGCTGTTCTGGTTCTGTTCTGGACATTCGGTTTGAGTTTTGCTTTAGCTTTAGCTGTGCCTGTTCTGGCTCTCGTCGTGGATGTGGCTGAGGCTGTGGCTGAGCGCTGTTTTTGCCCTCGAGGTGTTGCAATTTGACGTTTTTTACGCGCGTTTTTATTCCATGAAATCCACATAAGCTTCACATAAGGATGCAGCAGCGGGCACAGCAGCAGTCGCAGCAGCCGCACGCAGTGCAAATACTTGGCCCTAAATGGTTTTTGGCGAAAAACATGTCGAATTAACACGCTCAGTTGCTGTTGCTGTTGCTCTTGCTGTCGCTGTTGCTGTTGCTGTTGCTGTGGAAGTGGATGTGAGGCAGCTGCGATCGGTCAGTGAATGTGGATTAACAGCAACATCAACCTTATGGGGCAGTCACATGCACAGCTAAGCGCTGTGTGTATTTAAATGCTTGGCAAATTAGCTGAAATTTCTTTTGGCTCAGCACAATTTGCATTTGATGTATGTGTGTGTGTGTTTTTTGCTCTTCAAGTGTGTGTGTGTGTGTGTGTTTGAGAGTGCAAAACATATAATTAGTGTTGAGTTTTTGTGGTAAGCGTAAGCCCCTACCGTACTAAAGGGGCTCAGCTGGCGCCGTCTGCGGCTGGCAAATAAATCGCGCTGCTGTTGAACTTTCAGTGCCTCCGGGTTGGAGCGGAGGTTGGCCAGAATCGCATTGCCAGAGCGAATGGCACTGCCAAGAGCTGACAGAGAGTCCGACTTGAGAGTCGATTGTGGGACACGCCCCTTGGTGTCCTGGGCAATTGCTGGCCAGTTCTCAAGGCGAAGCAACAGAGCGCTATAGAGACCAGTGGAGATCGAGGTCGCAGCTTAGAGCCCGTCGTCCAGCGCCGTAAAAAGGGCGCAAATTTTATGAGCGCATCGTTTAACAAATGAATTTACAACCGTGCAACGCCCAAATGTCTGGCGTTCAAATTCAAATTCCTTGCGCAGCAGACATGGCCCTAAAACGAAACTTGGCACTGTCCGTGAGTTACGTGGCACACGGAGGCGTATGCACTATATTCGAGCATGAAATATGCTTGGCATTTGGCCAAATGATTTAAAACAAATAGCAGCCAGTCATCCACCTCTCAAACGACGTCCACATATATGTGGACTTTTATATTCACATCTCAGTCAACGCTAGGACAAAGCCGAATTAACGCTTTCATTAGTCCACTTTGTGTTTCGTTGGGCACCTCTTTTTTGAGCTGCACTTTAGCGTCCATAAATCGAAATCATTGTCAATTACTAACTGGCAACTGGCAATTGCCAGCACGTTGCTACACTCGTTAAATGCAGTTTAATGAGCTACCCAAAAAAATCTGAATTGCCTTTTCGACCAGCTTCTCGGTGCGTGCTCGCCAACGGGCTCGATCAGCTCTTTGGGTAATTGTAATTGCGTCGGCCTGTCAATAAGTTTTCATGGACTTCAATAAGGGAAAGCTTCGCCAGCTTGCAGTTATAATACGTTTTTAGCCCTAATTTATGTAATGTATTTACCGACACGATGCCAAGAGATCACCAAGTGAAGCTGGTCGAAAATCGATTCTTTCAATTTTGAAATTCCTTTTGAATCTCATTTGTTTATTAAGATTTACTCAGTTGGAGTTGGAAATCTAAGAGTTGCCTCTGCTTACCTGAAAATGTGTTTATCTTCCAATTGTCTGCTAAAATACTGTCACAAATTTCACACTTCTAGGCTAAACTATATCTAAATACCTCCAGGCACATGGCGATCCTATTGAAAAACTGCTGCTCAGCTGCTGCTGCTGTTGAAAAACTTGTTAAGAGTCCTACGGACAGCGGCTGGCATTGGCACTTGGGTTCTCATTGTCTGCTTAATAAATGAGTGGCCATTGTCAGTGGGTATAAATGTCAAAAGGTTGCTTTTGACACCCCAGCAATGGGACGAGCAGCGGTCAAGCGGCGACAAGCCGACACAAACTGAAGTGTGCAACACAATAAAATTGAACTAGGCTTTGCTCTGAATTGTCAGCTCACTTGGCCAGTTTTGCAAATGCAACAATGCAACCCCTCAGCGGACATACACAACGATCATTTAAGTGCCATTAACACAGCAAAAGAGAGGGAGAGAGAGACAGGGAGAGACGTTGAGTGGAACAGAGAGAACAGAGAACACCAGCTGGCAGTTGGCAACAGCTTCTGGCCCATTCTGAAACTCTTAGAGGTAGTGCCGGCGCAGCTTGAGGCCGTCGCTCGGCTGGCTAATGGAGCTAGGATGCCGCCCATAGCGCCTGATAGTCCCGATCTGCTAAAGATGTGTATCTCTCTGTGTGTGTGTGCAGTTGAGATGATAAAGTT